CAGCAACAGCGTCAGAGTCAGCATCAGCAGCAACAGCGTCATCACCACCAACACCACCACCCTCATCATCAGCATCACCACAATCATCACAATAATAATAATAGTAATAATAGTAATAAGCCTCATCATCATCATCAGCATCATAATCATCAACAGCATCGTCATCACCATCATCATCAGCAGCAGCAACACCATAATCACCATCACCATCATCATCAGCATCAGCAGCAGCAGCAACAGCAACATCACCGTCATGACTAGAATCGTCATCAGCATCATCATCATCATCATCATCATCATCATCATCATCATCATCATCATCATCATCATCGTAAACAGCATCATCATCAGCAGCATCAGATCATCATCGTCATCAGCCTCACCATCAGCATCACTGGCATCATCCTCAGCATCATCACCATCATCGTCATCCTCATCATCATTATCACCCGCCTCATCCGCATCATCATCAGCAGCACCATCATCATCGTCGTCATCAGCGTCATCCTCATCAGCGTCCATAATCATCAGCATCAAACTGTTCATCAGCATCATCGCCATCATCATCATCATCATCATCATCAGCATCATCATCATCATCATCATCGTCATCATCATTACCGACAGCAATAACAACCGCATGGTCACCATCATCATCATCATCACAATCATAATCACCATCACCACCACCATCACCATCATCGTCATCATCATCGTCATCGTCATCGTCATTGTCATCATCATCTTGTTGTCATCGTCATCAGCATCATCAGCACCATCATCATCAGCAGCATCGTCATCATCAGCATCATCATCGTCGTCATCATCATACTCGGTTTCATACCGCTCCTCGTCCCCCTCCCACTCCTTTGCTCATCCTCCTCCTCTTCCTCCTCCGTCTCCCCCAAGTCCACAGGCCACAGGGACAGTATGAGAGCATCTGAGATGATGCCTCGCTCCACGCCGCTTCGGCCGCGGGCATGCAGACAGGGGTCTTGGCCTCCCTTTCGCATCAGGTCATGGATATCTCCATTCGGTCGCTGCCACACTGATAACCTCTTCCACGCACGCAACCAAAAGCAAACGCCACGTCAAGGGTGAGTCACCGAAATACGCAGGCCATTCACAGTGATCAGACTGAACATACTGGCGGCTGTCATGGACAAGGCGCTGAAGATCGCTGGCAGCACAGGGACGAGGAAGAAGTGTCCCTGTGCAAAGGGATCCGTAGGATTTCCAGGGAGGCCCCCGTGGCCTCCAGAACAGCGCTTACGAGGCCGAGACTCCAAAAAACGCAAAACCTGTGGGCACTTTGGGCCAGGGTCACCCCTGACAACCTCGGATCTCTCATCAATCGCGCCGAGGGGCGCGACATCGCATGAAGCTGCCCCCCCCCCGACCCAACGCAACACGAAACAATGGGCGGAATAGTTGCGGCAGCGCACCCGTGTGTGGCGTGCAGCATGGCCGCCGCGGGGGAGAAGGTGGGCGCGCCTTTCCCCAAGCCCCTTTTGACCGGCTGGACACGGCTTGCGTGCGTCAGATGTTTGTCCTAAGGGCGGATGGTGGAACACCAGAATTGTCCGAAAACGCACCAAGAAATTCAGAAAGTGGACTGGAACGTCCGAAAGGGGGGGAACATGAAACGGTAAAAAACTAAACGAACCAGGAACATGTCGGGTTCGTGTTCGGCATCTCCTGGCTTCTGCTCGGACTTCCTTCCCTGGTTAGCCACTTCTCCCTTGTGTATGTGCGGCAGCCCTGGACACGCGTCGCCTTCAGAGGAAAAAGCAACACAACCCGACACCGCAACTAAGGCCCCCCATAGTGAACGGGGTCCACGAATGTTTCCGAGTTGAACGTTTTTGGAGATGTCACGAGCGAAACGCCCAGAAGCAGCGGCACCGCAGCGCCGCGAGGACCTGCCTCTGCCGCCTAACCATCGTAGCGTCGGTTTCGTTTCTCTCCTTTCCCCTAGAACGTACAATAAGAAACAACCTAACATAGCGCCAGCTGTTGCGGATTAGAATGAAGGGTGGGCGGGGGGCCGCGGCAGTCTGCAAGGCTCGAAAGCTCTTTAGATAAGCCCGCCACCAGTGCCAAACTTTGTAACATTCCACAAATGGCCCGCCTCAGGCGCCGATGTTTTGACACAAGCCATACACATAGCAGGGAAACATTAGTTTAGTCATTCACTTGACGATCATCATGAATGCTCTGCAGACGGCAGCGTCCAAAGAGGATCATTAAGCGACATTCGCTTTTCAATGTTGGCAACATGCGCAGGCGTGCACCATGGGCCAGTTCACTGATGCGCCACACTTTGGCTTGCGCGCCCAAAAGCAAAATTGGAAGGCCGACGCAACTTAATGCCCGGGTGCTCTTCCAAGCTAAACCTTCACACGGCCGCTGGCGTGGACGGTTCCACATTCTGCCTTGCGGTTTCGTTCCCACCAGTCGGATGGCGAACACGCAACGCACAATGCAGACGAGACGTTTTTCCGTAACGATGACAGGCGGATGTCGCTTGATGCGAAGGGCCCCGCCTGGTCGGATTCAACATACTTTCGGTTCCCATCCCTGTGCCACTTTTGTTAAAAAACGTTGTTCACGGGGATGGGTAATTCTGCCCAAGTTTTAGGTTTCCGCGCGATCCCCTCTTGTCTTTTAGCGTAGCGCCCTGTGGGTCCTGCGGGACGTGTGAGACTTGTGCCCCTGTAGGACTTGCGCGGTTTGTGGGACCTGCGAGACATGCGGGACCTTGGTGATTTGCCGGATCGGTGGGTTTTGCGGGACCTGTGCGACCTGCGAGACTTGTGGGAGCTGTGGGGCCTGCAAGACCTGAAAGACCTGCGCAACACGTCGGCGCTGTTAGGATATGCGAGAAACCTGCTGGCCTCGCGGGACCTGTAGGGATTACGGGACCCGTGAGGCCTGTGCGACCTGTGGCACCTGTGGGACCTGCAAGACCCGTGGGACCTGCGAGACCTGCGGGGCCTGCGAGACTTGTGCGGCCTATGAAGCCTGGGGGACCACTGGGACTGACGAGAGCAGCGGGACATGCGAAGCAACGAACAACGTCGACGGTCCGGCGGGGGGCGGGTTCTATCATGTAAATTCACACACGGGGTGTAGATTAGGTTGCCCGGCAATCAATTTCATTTAACGATCGGGCGGGCGCGGGTTTAGTGTGCAAATGCATACACAAAACGCACTTCGCGTTAAGTGGCGCGCCCCGGCGCGTCCACTTTACGATGCGATGTTTCCGCGTTCGGCGCGCGAAAAACAAAGGACGGGACGCATCCATCGTAAACCAGGGTTTTCCAGGGTTTTTTGTAATACGAAATTGAACGTCTTTTCTTTCGGATTTCTGTTGCATGCTCCCCGTCTTATTTTTCACACGCGAAGCGCAAAAAAAAAAAAAAAAAAAAAAAAAAAAAAAAAAAAAAAAAAAAAAAAAAAACGTAAAGTGGGCACGCCGGGGCACGCCATTTTACGCGAAACACGTCCTTTGTGTGATTTTACATGCTAAACCTGCCACCGCCCGATCGTTGAGCGGGGTCATTGGGCAACGGGAAATGCGTCCCGTATATGAATTTACACAGTGAACCTGAACCCGCCCGCGTCCAATGGTTTAGTAGTTTCGCCAGACATCAAAATTTACCGCCATGAACGGATTTTCGCAGTGAACCCGCTCCCGCTCCGGGCCACTGCTTAGCTCTCGCTCGTCCGCCGAAGCATCATCCGCATCCTCACTCGCCTCTTCCTTCTAATCCTCCAGCTCCTCCCTCTTGTTCGTTTTCCTCCTCCTTCGCATCTTCATATTATTGTCCCTCGCGCTCCCCCCCCCCTAGCCTCCCAAGGAAGCCACGACTGACCACGGCAGCCGTCCGGGTACCAGCTTATGCATCAGGGACGCGAACTTCCCATTCCATCTGCCCGAGCGGCAGAGGTTGCCGATGCTATAAGGCAATTGGCGCCAGAACGAGTGGAGCACGCCCAAACAGGTTCGAAATCCACACAGCCGCGAAAAATTAGAACAAAATCAACAAGACGATCATCGTGACTGATTTGCACACGGCAGCGCCCAAAGATGATCACTGAGCGAGATTCGTTTTTCAATGTTGGCAGCGTGCGCAGGCGTGCACCATGGGCCAAGTCACTGATGCGCCACACTTTGGCTTGCGCGCCCAAAGACAAAATTGGAAGGCGGACGCCACTGAATGCCCGGGCGCTCTTCCAATTTAATCCTTCACAGGGCCGCTGGCGTGGACGGTTCCACGTTCGGCTTTGCGGTTCCTTTCCCACCAGTCGGATGGCTAACATGCAACGCGCAATGCAGACGAGACGGTTTGTTTCGTAACGTTGACATGCGGATGTCACTTGATGCGACGGGCCCCGCCTGGTCTGACCCAACATACTTTCGGCTTCCATCCCTGTGCCACTTGTGTTATAAAGTTTTTGGCACGGGGATGTAATCGCGGTTGGGTCGCGGGTGGACCGCGGGCAGGTCGCGGGCAAGTCTCGGGCAGTTCCCTGGCAGGTCGCGTTTGTGTCGCGGGCGGGTCGCGGGCGGGTCGTCGGTGGGCCGCGGGCGGGTCGCAGATGGGTCGCGGGCGGGGCGCGGGCGAGAACGACTTAAGAACGACAACGAAGATACTCCACACCGCGAACCCCAGCTTCGCATCCAGGGACGGTGCAGGACCACTCGGCACACTCACTCTGATTTCATGTCATGGCGCGATTGGCCCAGGATACTTTCTGGGAGTTCTGGAGTGTCGAGCGACCCCCGGCCATTCGTACTCGAACATTCCTCCCTGGCCGCGCGAGACAGAAAGAAAAACTGGGAGAGACTCAAACATCTGATTACCAGTATGTCTCGCTCCTCTGATGCTTGCCCGCCGACTGCTGGGGTTTGCCCTCCCTCCATGCGCAACCCAGATCCCGTGCCCACATCGAGGGTGGCCGCGCGGCTGCCCCCGCCCGCCCGCCCGACGGTCCTTGAAGTCCACCACGCCGTTGCCGTCGAGAGCCGCAAGGCCCCAATCCCGCTGGGGGGGCCGCAAGGCCAAGAGGCGCCCCTCCCGAACATGGCTCCCCCATTCACCCCTCGCCCTCCCCCTGCTTCGGCATCCTCCTCCTCCGCCCTCCTCCTCCTCCTCCTCCTCCTCCTCCTCCTCCTCCTCCTCCT